TTCTGTTTCTCATCTCTATCTTGTATTATGATTAAATCATTCTGTACATGGTAAAGAAAACATACTTATTGCAATTCTGTTACATTAAAAACTTGTTGTTTGACTGCCTTCATGACAGCTTTCATGAAGAAAGTATTTACTACAAGGCTGAACATTTTTCTTTGCAGATTTTTTTTTTATTTATAAGATTTATTAGCAACATAATTTGTCATTAATGAGCTCAGTTCAATCTGATTTACTCTCCAACATCCTGCAGACTAAACTAATAACCAACATCTGATCAACATTTACAGAGGGGCCTTTCAGCAGGTAGGGACAAATTTACCCTGAGTGCTGCCCTTTACGAGTGTGCTGGTCTTTGGAGGAATGGTTTTCCCTTTTCACATCGCCTGCCTAAAACAACAGACCTGGGCGGCTAAAGTAAACACACTCAAACAGACATACACAGCTACAGTAAGCACAAAATTCCAACTCTACAACCAACTCTCTGCTCTTGGTTCGGTCCAAATCCACAACCTTGGAATCTAGAATATCATAATCTCAATATCTGCCTTATTATCCACAACAGCTACTTGCTAAGAGCTTTGGAAAAATATCAGCCTTGCCAAACCAATACCTCTGAAAATACTGCATATTCCTACAGCCAACAACTTCCTATAAATATGCATAGAGATAAGCAGGAGTCAGACATTAAACAAATTTAAATGTTGTTGGAGTTGTGGAATAATTAAGTGCTTATCTAAATCAAATTTGTTAGCTGATAAATCTAAATTAATACAAACTGAAGTTTGTTTTAGCAAACTTGTGTGCCTGTCAAATTGGAGAGGAAATACAAAACAGTGAGCAGGGTGGTCCCTCTCTCACAAGTGAAATATAAACAGCTGCCATGTAAATTCTGTGTGAAATGTCCCAAGCAGAACATAACAGGCAGAGAAAACGCCTCCAGAGAGCTTAAGCACACAGAACATGACAACTCCACATTTACACCTCGACACCAGCCATGCAGGAGTTGAAAGGGACTGATTGACTGAATTTCCATATGGACCAGCCCCATTTTCTTCATCTGTCCGCTGTGAAGGGAACACGCAGTTAGCTGTAAACCAGTGACTTTATGCCATTTTCTATGTTTCCAACAAAGTGCTTTAGAAGCACAAAGAGACTATAAAGCTGTCTAGACAAGCAGTAAAAAGATGTGTGTAACTGTGTGCCCAGCAAACGTGGCCATTAGACAACTGCGTTTGTGGCACCACACCAAAAATGTAGTTTGATTTTTTTTTCTTAAACCAGGTCAACACCAAACTTCAAACAGGAAAAATATATTTGCTTGTTAGTTTCATTTTGAGGCTCAGTTTGGGCAAGAAAAAAATCAAATCAAATCACCCGTTAAGAAGGCAAAGGTCATAAAACAATTTTTTTTTCCTCTTGTCACGAAGCAATCTGTTCTTGTCATTTTTTGTTATGGAAGCAAATAAACTGGCCTGCTGTCATCCCCGCCTGGCATGCAAGATTGGATTATGATGACACCGATACTCAAGTGGTTTACTCTCCGGTCTCGTCGCCGCTTTTCTTTTCCCTTGATCTGAACAGAAAGCAGAATGAGGTGGAACGACTGTATTCCCACTCTCAGAAAGGTGAAAAGGCCTCAGTGCTTCTGTCAATGGACCTTCACTGAAGTGTCGCAGGCACAAAACAAGTTTAATCTCCAATGCATTAGACAGCTTCAACAACTTTGGTAATGATCGATAAAAAGAATGACCTATTCTGAGTATTATGAAAATATTTGCTTATCTTTAAAAAAAATTTTTTTAGCTGACTCCAAAACAGAGTGTGGATTTGAGGAATCTTGGCTGCAGACAAGAGAAAGATTGTGACGTTTTTACTTCCACTGTTGCTTCATTTGTGTATTCATCTACTTTTAAGCAAACATATAGGCAAACTACATGGACAAATAAAGATGAAGCCATGTTGTTTTGTTTAATTCTGTTGCCATTCAAATGCTGTATAGCAGATCTGTCTGATTCACCTACTGCCACCAAGCTACAATATCTCTGAGGTACATGGAAAAGTATGGTGTGACTGACATTAGGTCAGTCTTAACTGGGTAGTGACTGAAAGAATGAGATCACGAATACAAGTGGCTGAAATTAGTTTCCTCCAGGTGGCTGGACTTAGAAATAGGGTGCGGAGTTTGAGGTAGACCTGCTCCTCCTTTATAATGAAAGGAGCCAGTTGAGGTGGTTTGGGCATCTGATTAGGATGCCTCCTGGGCACCACCCACTGGATGTTACCTGGGCATGCCCAACTGGTAGAAGTCCCTGGAAACCACTGATTTAATAATTACAACATAATTTCTTCTCCAGCACTGCATGGCTGCCATGCTAGAACGGAAAGCTTGACAGGCATGACAACAATAAATAAGGGTCAATTTAAGGTCGCTTTCCAGCCACACAATGGGACCTTGAATGTGACAGTCCATAACTGCCACTGAGATGTTTACTAGCCATCCAAGTCTGTGGTCCATGCAGACAGAAAATCTATCACTTTTCCAACAAAGTGCATTTCTACTTAACTGTAAAACTTTTAACAGCAATCTAGCTGTCTCGAGTATTGGAAAAGCCATTTAGAAAGCAGAAGAAGAAAACACAGTGAGAAAACTATTACAGACATAAAATTTTTAAATGAGAAAAAAAAAAGAAAGCTGAAAATAGATGCTCCTTTGTTGCCCAGTGCTGGCAGAGCTGAGTGGACAGTTTTCCACATTAATCAAAAGTGAGGCTGTTGCACTCACAGCATGCTGTAGGCAATTACAGAGATACTTTAAGTGACCATTAAACCCATCCACCCTCACTAGCAACCCAAACACAACACATGGTCTCTGGCTGCAGCTTTGAAAGAAACTTTTAGACTGCCCTGCGAGTTCACCTAAACAAGAACTATTATTAGATTTAGCAGCCACATCAGGAGGTTTAATAAATTATTCCTGCAACAGCAAGAGCTCAGGAGCAGTTAGAAACTGTGTCCACATACTGTATGTTAGCTCACTAATTATATACTATACTGACACTGAAGAGGTTCTAAGTAATTACAAGAACGTTGCATGCTGTCTTGACAAAACATTAGACAAAAGCTCAGGCAGTGATAAACATTTAATCCAAGCTGTTAACACCATTAGTGAGAATATTTTGTTTTCTAGCAGAACAATTTGCTGATTTACCAATTAGCTGATACTCAAAATATGCTGGCTCCAATATATCAAATGTAAATAAGACAAAACAAGACATTTGTATACATCACTGTGTGACGTGGGAAATTATGATGACACTTCATTTTCTGACATCTCAAAATCAAATAATGAACTGATAAAATGACCGAAAATTGATAAAGAAAATGAAGTAGTTGAAGCCAAATTCTCCAGTACTTATTTTTTAACTTCCTCTAATAAGGTGTTACCTGCCCCAGACCTGTGGCCCTGAACCACAGTTGGGGGGCCTCTGGCTCATGGCTAAACTGCTTTAGCCCTGGCTCGTAGCTGGTATCCAGTCTTAGATGTCTGGGCCTTTCTGTTTGGGAGAAGTGAAGAGGGAGGCCAGCTAACTCCGTTCAAAACACAGGCTTTACTCCGTCTTGGTAACACAGACACTACATGTGGCCTTTGATGTCCTGTTAACTACATTACAATACCGTCTATACACTTAGAGCCGACTACTGTCTGACTGCACATAAAAGGAGTCTTTACCATGCGGCGGTCTTCTTGCTTTATTACTGTACACACAGGTAGCAACAACAACAACAACAACATTACCTATAAGGATATATGTCTTAAAGGGGAAGACCTGGCCTGTAACAACAATCTGTGTGTGGAAATGCTACTGTGGGTACCTTCTGTGCCCCTTAGCTTTAGCTGTGAAAAAGAGCGATAACATGACTGCCTGCAACTGCCACACCCTGTGGGAGACTCTTGGCTGGTGCATTGAGTGCAAGGGCAGAGCGTGTGCAAGTAGGAAGCAGGTTGACAGGCAGGTAGGCCATTCAATGGTTTTATTTGAGACGGGTAAAACTATTGATCAGGCTTTGGTGCAGCCCTGCTGCTGCCACAGATGACAGATTTTTTTTTTTCCTTCATGTTGTCAGCGCAATAAATGCCATCCGGATGAAAAGAAAAATTTAAGAAATGTAACAAAAAATGCTTTTCTGGAAGGAATCACCAAACCTGCCTGCTTTTAAGTCAATGAATCCTTAACCCAGCATGTTTTTGGTGCTGGAACAGTGTTTTTTTTCTTCCCTCCCTTTGGTAAAATGGCAGATGATGGTGAGAATGCAGGGATTCAAGATGAAATGTGATAAGGTGTTCTGACCACAAGCCTTCCAAAGACAGAGATATTAGATCAGCTCAAATCCAGAGAAAGAGGACAAAGACCACTTAGGAACTCTCTCTTAAATCACACAGGATGGACAAATTCCTCCACAGATATAACACAATGGTGATCATACATTATTACTAGCAAATACAGTCTACATGTAGTGACAGGTATATGATGTTCAGCTTGGTATTTATAAAACAAATTCCTTTGTCAGTAGGCACAGACTATCAGAAAACAACAAAACATCAAATGACAAACAATGTCGGGAGAAATGAACAACTTTTTTTTTATTTTTATCAGAAACTGGGGACTACTTTGGGAAACCAAGTTCAACATTTTACACAGAGAACTGCCTAGCAAAAGGGTTAAAGCCTGAGTTTAGGCAACAGGTGAAGCAGCAGAATCCTGCTGCTACGGTGCAACTGAAACAATGAAATCCTCATACCAACATTGGGAATTGTCCAACAGTAATACCGACAAACCAGAAAGTCTATATCCATGTGTAGTACTGCCTCTGCATATTATGGATAAGCACAACCAAGCTTATGTTCTCAAACATGTGTGTCCGTGTTTCCAGCAGTAGGACTAAAGACTGGAAGGCCATACAAAAGATGTGATCAGTGAGTGAACTTCTCTTACCTCTGGTGTTTTGACTTGCTCTTGTGTGTCTCTCTCTGCACATGTTGCTCTATCCGATATCTGGCTCTGAGTGTCAGCAGTTCCCCTTAAATCACTCTAAAACCAGCCAGCACAGACAGAAGTGTGTTAGGTTTATCAGCCTGCCATGTTTTGTGACATCCAGTTTTGACTCATAGTGAAATGAAATTAAACGCATCAAACAAATCCCTCTCACCTTGTAGTACCCAATGACCTGTTCTGCAATGCTGTTGATGTGCAACATGTATTGGTGCAGTCTCTGCTGGTACTTGAGAGCAGCGAGCTGAGCTTCGTTCTGCAGAGCTGACACCTTGGTTAACAGGAGCTGCTCCCTCCTGTTCCATCTGAGCCTCGCCATCTGGGCTTCATGCTCCAAAGTTGTGCGTCTTTCTTCCAGCGCAACAGTGACCGTGCGGAGGGCATCCACGCAGCAGTGCTGCCGTTTGCTTATGTCCTCAGTGGGCAGCAGAAGCCCACATCCTCTCTGACAAACACCGTCACCGCTGTGACCCGTGCCTGGCTTTGTTTGCGACTCCATCTCGCCTGCGTTTAAAGCTTGACATACAGGATCTTTATATCCGCAAGAGGTTGGACAATCCGCGCACATTGTTTGCGCAGGTAACTTTCCTACGCAGTAGAATAGGTCAGCAAAAAGTTGTTTTGTTTGTTTGTTTGTTTGTTTTTACAAGTCTAAGCACGTGGAAGCGTGAGCGTAAAGGTCTCACCGGTCTGCGTCCCTGGAGCTGTGCTGAGTGGCTGCGCCTGTCGTGTAGTTTTGAGGAGAGAATGTGAACAGAAATCCTCACCCTAACTCACTTATGCTCTTTCTGGTCAGGGTCATCAGACCTCTGTGTCACGTCCTGCTACTCACATAAACGACACATTGACTTTAATGTAAAGCCAAATATGTAGCGATCCTCACAAACTGGTGGTTTTGCCTAGTTTACCAGTTTCCTTCAGTTTGATTTAATTGTGGACAGCCGTGGTAGGTGCTGCGAACCTCTTGATGTTATAACATCTCACCAGCAGAAGGCGCTGGTTCTCTCAATCCTTACAAGCTAACTTGACTCCTCAAACCGAGATGGAAACAAAAACACTTCACATCATGGCTGGCAATATCATTGAGGTTTTATTGTGCCACATCTTAAACATATTCAATTAAATTATTCTACTTTCTGCACAGGGTCTTCAGTGATGATATGATAGTAAAACATGTATCACAATGGTCACTGAATACCAAAACCCCATCTGTAACACAATATCTGCATGAAGATCCTTACTTTTAAAGCCTTCTTGCATGGGTCCAGGCCAGACTTACGGCCTGACACAGCATAACATATTGCAGGCATCTCACGGAAGGCATCACATTTCAGCTGTCACAGCAAAGCAGTCTGGTTGTAGTCTGCTATGCACCACTTTAAAGTATGTTTTGTGTTGTCTGAGCTGTCAGAGAAAAGGTGTATATTTTCAAAGACAATAGCGCAATCTGTCTCAGGACAGCACACCTGTCTGCAAAGACACATACACAAAGAGGTCAAGAAGAACATATTTTTTCCCTGTCAGTCACTGTAAATTAAACAGTAGCTCTAATATTACTTTATATTGTGATATTAAATAAATTGTTTAAATCAATAGTGGCAAGTAGATATATTTTGGACCTGAACGAGTTTAAATCCTGGAGGACACGATGTGGAGGAGCAGTGAGACTGAAGTAAGCTGCAGCCCGTGTAAGTGGAAAAAGTGTCACACAGCCACTTGGGATTAACCTATGACACAGGCCATATGCTTGGACTGATAAGCCACTGAATCAGGAACAAAATCATGGCAGGTAAAAAGTTCTTTCTTTCTTTTGTTCTCTCTGTGAGCTGATTTCAGTGAATAGCCATTAAGAACCCCAGCTGAAACACAGAGGTGACCTATAGCTCAATGCGAATAAAAAATCTGATTCATTTGGTCTGATCTAATCCATAAAGTGATGTGATATCAATCTAGTTTTTATCTGGTGGATACCTGATAGGAGACAAAAGTCCAGCAGCTGTTTCTGTTTGAAAAGTGGCCTTAGAGCCCAGATTGAAACACTGTGTTTGATATATTTGATATATTTGCTCTTGGCCTAGGTGAAGAATAGCTTTCTCCTGGAAATGAAGGAGAATCCATGCATAAATTGAGGACTTGTTGCAAATATGAAAAGAACTCATCAATCATCAGGAATGCTCTAGTTTTCTCTTGCTATACACTCACTGGCCACTTTATTAGGTACGCAACACTTCCTCCTTAACATCTGTGTTTATGAAGCTCATTATATTTTTGTCCTCCCTACATACATGAGAGGGTCTATATATTAGGAACAGCTCTGAATATACATATACTACACGTAATGTAGTCCAATACAGCACCATCTTTAACTATGACCTTAATAATAAACATAAATATATACATTTATGACAATATCACCAAAAAAAAGAAACATTTTCAGCTTCAAAAACACAGATGTTAAGGCCAAAGTGTTGCATACAATTGTACAGGTGTACCTAATAAAGTGGCCAGTGAATGTATTTAAACTGCTATGAATATTACAAACAGGACCAGTCTGAAATAACAGTTATATGAAAGATCATTTAATGTTAAGACAGCAATGATTCAGGACACTACTGATTTTTATTTAAATCTATTTTAGGGCTGTTGGCACGTTAGCCCGTCTAAGAGCAGAGTGAAAGGCCCCTGAGAACACCTGTGAACTAACTCCAGGTGGACAGCTGTATTTAGGAATAGGCTCACTGAATAGAATTTGGTTATATTTATTGGTATATTTAACTGTTTCCTCATGCTATTCTGTAAATTCTTGTGCATTATAGTAATAAAATTTCTCTAAATTTATGGCTAGCATAAGCACTGTGCATGTTATACAGTACATTTACTCAAAAAAACTGCATGCAAGTACAAATTTGAGAAATTTGTATTTACTTGAGCATTTTTGTTTTACCCTACATGATACTTCACTGTTTTTTCAGAGGTTAATAATGAATTACTGTATATGATATTTGAAGTAATAATTACTTTACATTAATATGTTACATACACAATTTGCAGTATAAATAAAATATGCATTGTTATTTTGTTCTAATGCAGCACATTTATTGCGTGCTACTGCTTCTCTGACCTAAGTCAAGAGTCTGAATACTTCTTCTGCCACTGTGAGCTGTACGCCTGTGCACAGCCAAAACTGCTTTCAGAATCAGTTTTTAGTTACACTCCCACTTAGGCTTCCAGTACATCATGTTGCTGAGTAATCCCATGACTCGCCTGTAAAAAAAAAAACACCATCACAAAACAACAAAGAAAAAAAACCACAGCAATTTAATAGTTAACTACACCTTTATTGTTCCAGAGAGTTTCCAGTTTCATCCCACACTGAACTTCAGTAAACAGCCAAACATGCCGCCACAACCACCAGTGTTGTTATCAAATCCCAACCATCTTGTGTGCGAGACTTACAGAACCATTTCTGTGCTTTTATGAGTGAGATTCTTTTAGTCAGTGTAAAAACCTCTCTCCCCAAAACTTCATATGAGATGACTGGCTTTATGAAGCTTAGCAGCTAATGCACACATTAGGCTTAGATCTACACTGCCTCTGACGTAAAGGGATGTCACTCAGTAATGGAATGTATTTCATATGAAGCTGAGGGGTTGAAAAGCTGCTATGATGTCGATTTGTTGCAAAGTAATGAGCCACTTTGTCTCCAATGTCATGCACGTTACAATGTAGAGCCACCACTTTGTCCAGAGTGTCAAAGTTCAAGGCATTCATGCATTTGGCAACTCTTTCCACGATTTGTTGCATGAAGGAAAACTGGGAAAAGCACTTTGTGGTGGATGTTGATATAGTCATAATGGCCATGGCCAGTATCAAGTGAATCAGAGGAAATCAAAACAAAGCATTTGTTCCTCCACTCAAAGGAAATGAACTTGTCTGACCAGAGGTGGGTGAAGACATACAAATATAAGAACCATAAAGGAAAATGACAACAGTTGATAATGATTATATATCTCTGATTACATGTTAATAAAAAGACAAACAATTCAGTGGAAATAATATTGAGCTTTTGATGTGCTCATACTGCTGACAAGGATGGCTTTGCTTATCTTGTGTTTATAACAGATAATGCCAAATTAAATATACTAAATTATAGGAGCTAGGCAAGTTGTCTAGTTAGAAAATATAAAGTGGCCACAGATGAACCAGACATTGCACAATTATTGGAGGGTATGAGCGTCGCTACTGTTCACCGCAACTGTTAATAGTGACTCTCACACAAAGCCATAAGCAAAGGAGAAGAAATGAAAAGGTTTACACTAAACAAAATGGAAACATTCTTTACAAAGCACCTGCTGGTACCACTGAGATCTAAGTGATACAGTCGAAATAAAAGTATTTTTTGTTTAGGTTTCGGTCACTTACATGGAGCAGTTTTCATCATTGGATTCAACAATGACCCAGACGTTGTGGCGAAGCCTTGATCACTGCACAGATGTACAAACATAACTAGAGGTGGCAAGCAATCAAAATGACCACTGTTACACACCGGCTTCAATTTTGCTTTGTACACTTTGTTTTTGAAATGTTGTTTAGTTCACCTCCTGCTGGTGTGGTTTGCTTTATATTCAGCTTTGAATCCAGGTGCCTAAACACCCAAACGCTCTTGAACCATTTCAATGTTTTGTTCCATGTAACAAAGTCATCGTGCGCACATTTTGAAAGTGGTGGTCTGTTAATAAAGTTCATGTTATGATTTGGAAAAAAAAGCACTGACTGCAGGTCAAACCAATCTAGTTTTCTTCAGATAACATCAATAGTATATTAGAAAACAAGATCAGTAACTGGATATATTATTTCAGCATGACATAAATAAATTGCTCTTTTCTTAGATGCTTGTTAATAAAATCAGGTATGCGAGAGGTTGAGATTTGATTTAACTGTATCTTTGTCACAGAAGATGTGCTTCATTTTAGAAAGAAAATGTCACTGGACCTCAAGTAAAGAATGACAAAGAAGTAAACCCGTACACTTGTCCTTCACAGCTACATGTTTACCTTCAACTATGGAATGTTGGATAGATTTTTCAGAACCTCACAGACCAAATGAAGTTTACACTTGACAGACATAAACACATAGCAGTTTGATCTACATCAGAGAGGTTGGCTTCATTATGTTTAATGATGTTAAACAGCCAACCTATGCAATGTTCACTCTTTCAGTCACAATCAAGTTTAAAACAGGTTACTGTGAAAGATAAGTGCAGATATTTATATAAGGCATATTTAAAAAGTTGACAGTCCTCCGGAGAGCCTTTCTGTGGATAAATAAGGGATGTCTTTGTCCATTTCCAATTTTTCCATTTGCATCCTTTTCCACAAACATCTTCCAGAGGGGCAGAGTTGGAATATGAGATCTCAGTTTACAGGGAAGAACCAAACGATTGTGGAAAGAGTCTCAAAGTCCTTATAGGCATCAACCATAGTCTTCTTCATGGAAAGCGAAGACAAAGATGGTGCTACATTCAGAGGTTGAGGCAGAGGAGAGCTATCAGGAGCAGGGGGAGTACACTGAGAGACTGGGCAGCCATGATAGCTCCACCTGAGAGACACAGATGCAGGTTTGTCCGTCAGTGAACTGGACTGACAGTCAAATTTGCTGCTAATTTGAGGAAAAAAATCTAAGTCATTTGAGTGTCCAGCTCTCAGCCATCAACCTACAGTAAAGACCCTATTAGCTGTGTGAAATGTGATATTAAAGCCCATCTGTGTGGAGATCACCTTAAATGCCTCTCATATTCGTCAATGCACTGCATTTGAAATCCTCCACTGATTAAATTCCCAGGTCTGTGAAATCAAGCAGTCTGGGCAGAATGATAAGGAAAACCACAGGAGGAATTTACTCTAGTCATCATGATCAATTACAGAGGCTTAAGGCCTCCTTTTTCCAGTCAGCCTACTTGTCAGTCCATCAGCCAGTGAGAGGATCCAGTCAGTGGACTATCAAGGCTTTAGTCATGGGCCATAAAGTTCCCTATCACAGGGCTCCAATCTAAGGCATGAAACCTGAAGTGACAGCTGTGCTGTGGCCTAGGGGAACCTTCTAGCTGTGACAAATGATAACCAACTTTGAACCTGGTATAATCTCACTAGCAAATGGCGCGCTAGAAATGAACAGTCACAGTGTGTCGCTTCAGAACTACAGATTAGATAACTGAAGGCTTCCTTTACTTTTGTTCCACTGACACGAAACTAAACTGAAGTCAGCATCATATTTCTAACATGAGATCACTCTCAGTGCAAGAAGGTTCCAGGTTTGAACCCGGACCAACCTGGTGCCTTTCTGTGTGGAGTTTGCACGTTCTCCCCATGCCTGTGTGGATTCTCTCCGAGTACTCCGGCTTCCTCCTGCAGTCCGAAGACATGCAGCTTAGGTTGAATGGAGACTCTAAATTGCACATAGAAGTGAGTGTGTGTGATTGTTTGCCTACATGTCAGCCCTGTGATAGACTGGCAACCTGTCCAGGGTGGACCCCACCTCTAACCCAATGTCAGATTGGATTGGCTCCAGCCCCCTACCTATTCAGGAATAAATGGTATAGATAATGGATGGATGGACTATCCTATATATACACATATAAATAAAAAATTCCCCACTCGCCCCCCACTTTGGGGTGGTCTTATTCCTTCCTTCAAATTCGGGTCCTCTACCAGAGGCCTGGGAGCTTGAGGGTCCTGCGCGGTATCTTAGCTGTTCCTAGGACTGCACTCTTCTGGACAGAGATCTCAGATGTTGTTCCTGGGATTTGTTGGAGCCGCTCTCCCAGTTTGGGGGTCACAGCCCCCGATATATATATACATATATATGTAGTGTATATGTTTACAGCAAAGAAAACAACCTAAACATAAGATCCAACTCAGCCATCTAAATCCCATCTTCACTGAATGCTGTGAGCTGTTAGTAACTGGTTCTAACTCATACTTAAATCCTTTAGATTTAACAAAACACTATTTTACCAGTACTACCATGTTGCAACATCTCCATCTGGCAATCAGTTATTTTCCACGTTATCATTTCCATTTAGATTCCTGCTTTAAAAGCTTCCCTTTGATTTTTGATTTGATTTGATTTGATTTATTCTTTCAAACATGCAGAACAAATGACATCAACACAAACATAATTACACAAATCCAACCAATGCTAATCCAGAATCAGTTTGCTTATACCTAGTACATGTTTGAATGGAGTAGGAAGAAATCAGACTTATCCAGTCCTACCCCATAACATCATCTTATACAAAAAATTTCATGCATCATTGGCTGCAAGCAGTATCTTTACGTAGGTAATTCTCTTCTTCACCAGACAAGTAATACACAGAAAATTTAAAACAGAGTGTTTCCTTCATGCATTCTTGATTAAATCTCTTATTCTTGCATGTATCTTGAATGATACATACATTTATATTTATATTTAAACTCCTCAATTCTAGTACTGTTTTTCATGTCCACACTTAAATTATTCCATAATTTGACCCCACTTATAGAAATACAAAATCTTTTTTGTCCCTTTAGTGAAACATTTTATTCAACATTTTTGCATCTAATGCCTCTAATCTACTGTGATAATCTGTAAAACTGTAATCGATCAGGAGAAACTGCAGTAGTTTCAATTTAGCTCTATTGATTATTTTATGTTTATTTTTATGTATTTACTTTGGTCTTCCAAATCACAAAAGAAAACAATTCCAAAAAGTGAACAAATCAAAAGCAAAAATTAAAACAAGCAAACTAGCTAACTTTAAAGAAAACATAATACAGAACACATGAATCACATCTGGTTATCACTGTACTGAATAATTCTGAATAGTGAATGAAGGCGATGCTTTCAAACCGTCTGTCTGTTACCTGTGATTTTGATTTTTGCCACAGCCCCATCTCCTCCCTCTGTGTACGCCCGGACCTCCACCACATAGTCCACATCTGGTATCAGACGAAGGTCTATGTAGCGCTTACTGGTCATGTACAGAGTGCCATTGGGGTGCCCCTGCTGTCTGCACAGCACCTAGGTACATGTAAGGTACAGGAAATGTAAGGTTCCCAACAGCTACTGTTTCACTTCAGAGAAATTATAATCTGTAGTGAAGTAAATGCTGAACTGTACTCACTTTGTAACCATCTATCTGTGACTCATTATTCAGTGCTACCACATGTTCCCAGGAAACCATTACTGACTTCCCCTTGAACTTTGGACCTAATATTTTGGGGGCTTGACTTGGAGCTGGTAAAAGAAACAAAATGCAGTCATGAATAACAATGATATTAAGATGACTCATAAACATGGATCTCAGATACATTTGTTCCATGCAGATCCATTCTGTTTAACTCTGAACTGCTTTAAAGTAAAACATACGGGCTTTCTTGGTGTGAATCAGGAGGTGGTCGCTGGGTGGCCCAGGTCCTGCAGAGTTGGAGCCCCGCACTTTAATAAGGTATTGGGTGTCAGGTTTCATACCCACCAGCCTGGTGTGGTTGTCCCTGCTGGGCACCTCCGCCTTCTGGGCATCACTTTCACTCTCTTCCAGATTCCTCCAGTACGTCACCTAGAAAATACAGAGGTAAAAGAATCACAACAGGCCCGTTTTACAACACAGGCACCAGAGTGCATCAGCTTCAAAATACCTAATCTGTCATCAGCAGAAAGAAGACCAAAGGCCAAGGGGGAAAGGAGGAGAGATTTTAGTGACATTTACAATCTTTATTGTCTCAGTCCAACCAAATCACAAAAACATTTTAGATGCTATGTGACTTGAGCCATTGTTTGTCTCTCACAAATGAAAATGTGGATTTTTTTCATCATACCTGAGTAAAATTTTCAACTGACCTCGTATTGATCTACATTGCTCTGTGAAAGTGGCTGCCACCACACGAAGGCTTCTGTGGCAGAGAGAGCTTTGCCGTCGACACCTAGAGGAGCCTCTGATATAGCTGAGGACAGACAATGTGGTAAACAGGTTATCCTTCAGAGCATTTTTTTATACTGCACACACAAAAGTCCAGAGCAGCATATTTTATATGTATGATTATTTTTAGTTTGGTATTGATCTGCGCACCATACACACTAATGGATCCCTTAGCTTGACCATAAACTATCTAGTGCTTCCAATTTCCAACCCCAAATCACACAGATGCTCGCACACTTGAAGGCAGAGCTTAACTAGAAAATCATTGACACTCAATGGCAAGCGGTCCCAAAGCGTGTTACCATGGCAACAGGACATCTCTGTAAACGATTGTGTTTGGGTTGTCAGTGGTTAGCTCAACTGTCTGTCAGTGGCAGTTAATAACTAGGCTAAATGCTTTGCATCCTTGGGCGAATTATCAGCTTTCTGGTTCATGCTACACAGATGATGATAATCCCCTCGCAAGGCAAGAGAGAGAGAAGATGGGCTCAGTTTCATGGGGTATTAAAATTCCTCACAACTATACATGAGAATTCCTAATAAATAAGTACTACTCCCCTGAAAACCCTGGTGGTGACAAGTAGCTAACTCTGACAGACTGAAATAGCAGAGTGCTGGCATATTGAAGGGTTCCTCACTCATTCATTATTTTGGCACATTTCCCCTTCTGTGCTTCAGTGTTGAGAGTCTCTTCAGTGTTTACCTTCCCCTGCAGAGTAAATGATGGCTTCTTGGCTGTACGGTCCCTCTCCTTTGCTGTTGAACGCTTTGACTTTGACTTCAAACTTTGTTGACAGAGGGATAGAGGAGTCTTTGTGGACGTAGCGGTTGACCTGTGGGTCAGCTATTGTCACTATCATCCACTCGTAGTCATCTTTAGGTTTGAAGGCTACAATGTAGCCAAAATTAGGCCCGTAGTAGTACTGTGGCTGTACAGGCTGATGACAAAACACATTTAAATAAATCAATTACCAATCAATTGCTGCAAATGTTTTTATCCAATACATCTCTCAAACCTGGAATTACACTCTTAATCCTGTCTGAGCTCATAACATGTAAACAGTATGTAACATGCATCATCCACTTAAGCTTCTGCTATATACTAGGATTAACAGGAAGACTCAAAAAAGACCAAATCCACTAATCAGATGATTAATGGATTCTGAAAGTGATATACAAAGAAGTGTGATACTTGGCTGCCACCGCTGGCTTGCTCCTCCTGATCTATCCTCATGCCTCATTTCCTTTCCTCATCACACCGTATGGCCAGTGTTCAATTCATTTATCATTTTTGAAAATAGTGATTATTTTGCTTGGTATATAATATGAGATTATTCAACATTTATTCTTCAGTACCTCGATATGTGTGCTGTCCTCAGCTTGACGTACTACACTCTTGTCCTTCAAAACTGGAAACTTTTCAATGACTACCTTTAAATAGCTCTTGAAAAGCATTGTTTTATAAACTTGCATTCTGCATTGAGTGGTCTTTCAGTGCCCAAATTTTTTATTAATTTGGTTAATGTTGTTACAATTTTCTGGACCACTTTTTATTTGAACTGTCAAAATGATCATTCTGAAAAAGGCAGTTGTGCCGAAACATCATGAATGGTGCCGCTATCCTTCCTCTGTTTTAGATGTCTGCCTGTGAGCCAGCACCTCACTAGCTATAATTCTTTATTGTTAAAATTGTGTTTGTTTCTATTTTATTGTTCTGGTTATTTTATCTAGCTTTCTTTTGAAATGTGCCACAGTGTAAACTAAAGGTTACTACGATTATTACTATTACTAACAGCAGTTCTTTCTGTGTGATAAGCCCCCTACCCCATCTCACACACACCCACACACACACACACACACACTTCAGGCTTACCGTCCAAGTGATGATCAGTTCTCTGCTAGCCCCTCCACCCCCGCCGACGTCCGAGGGCGCCACCACAGGACCTACAAAGAGACAGCAAAAGCAAAACTCTGAGCCCACATGCTAAGAATCCACACAGACACTGCCAACCCACACAGGCTGTAACTGAACCCCGGCAGCCCCGAAACATCCTTCCTCTGCAAATACAATATCGGTGTCTTCTCCTCGGCCAAATGCAACACTTTAATGTCCATATGGGAACCATGCCACTGATGAGACAGCAAGGCAAAGGTTCTCTTGTTTGGCTCACTCTCAAATGATTATTTTTTTAAGAGAGGTTTTTGTAGGCCTATGATTTCCATTTTATAATTGAATTTCAGTATAGAGTTTCAGCAAACTGCTCATTTGTTGATGTTTGTGTGGTTAGTTTGGCTCAATTCTTCTGCTGCATGATGGGATTTGTGCTGACACCATTTCTACAGCCATAGTTAGCAAAAAGAAAAGAATGTCACAATAAAATAAAGAATAAATATCTGAATGGAAAGCTGAACTGTCGTATCAAGCTTCCATGATGTTTCAAGTTACTCTGACTATTCTATACAGTATAGTTTCTCTACCATTAGTCCACAGAGGGGTCACAATCTTACTTGCTTCCAGGCTTTTGTCTTTAGGCGACGGGCTGCTTGGTTCTCCTGTCCCCAGAGTGTTGGTGGCAATCACCCTGAACTCATATTCCGTCCAGGGGGACAAGTCCACCACCGTGGCTGTGTCTGCAGTCCCCTCTATGTCTGCAGGAACTAGACCAGAATTCACCTTAATCTACAGTGCCAAAACTCCAGGGCTACAGCATGCTATGTTAAAACTTTACACAGTACAGGTCATGCTGTCCCACAGTTTAACTAAAATATCCTTAAAACAACAATAAAGTTCCCTTTTTGGAACCCATGCCTATATTTTGAGTCTGTGTGGTATAGCTAAATTACATTTTAGCCATTTTTAAGAGACATTAACCACCATGTAGGTCTACAATATCACTATGTGGTATGACCCAAACTATTCTAACACCAGAGTCAGCTGAGCATTAAGGTAGCAGGTTTATTTGACCAACTAGTGTGCTGGAGTTCTCACATGTAGTGGCATTCTTCCAGACATCCTTTGAGAAGGAATCCCTGTACTGGATGGTATATTTGGAGATGGGGCTGTGGTTGTTTGCTCCATGGCTCCATTGCAACGTTACATTCTTGTCAGTTTTATTTGTCACTCGCACCCCACCTGGCGCACCGGGGGGACCTGAAGTAAAGCAAAGAATAAGTGACAAGTTAAAGGTGATGTTTGATGGGTGATGAACACAAATGTTACTGTACAGTAGTACAGAGAGAAGCGACACTGTCCCTTAAGCTAAAGTTCACAAGTTAGAAATCCCACAAGTCATCACTTTGACTTGTCCCTCAGCCAGACTGTGAATGTTCTACTTGCTCACAAATTGAAAGAGCTTCATCTTCCTTCAAGCTCATTCTTAGCAAAGACCCTGAGCCCTTTAACAAATTTATACTTCAATACAAGTCTCCAAAAAGACTGATAACTGTGGAACACAGCACATCAATGCACTTGCATGTCCTCCTTTTAGCCTCTGACTGATGGATTAAAGCACTGCAGCTTAAAGCCCATTAACATATATGAACTGGAGCTTAAGCAAAAGCCTTTGACTTCAGTGTTTTTCTTGGCCCTCTTGCTCCCCTTCACTATTCCGCTGGAACATAAAAATGGCCTAATAGAAAACCCAGATTCTGTCAGGGTCAGCCTACCAACCCACAGGCAGGATTTACTTTTTCCATGTCATGAATATTAACCAAGACAAGCAAGGCGATTAGACAGCCAAAGCTGGGCAGCCCTTAAGCTTCCCCTCTCCTCTAAGGGTCAGAAGAGAAAGTATAGTTGTGAGTTTATTTATTTACTTTCGACATCTGTACAATACTGTGTCACATGGATGAATGCTTAGCTAGGTGTGCTTGAATTGATAACCTTCAGTATTAGGCTTTGTGCTAAGTGGAATATTGTATCCCATTAGCCAAATTTAATACATTTTATGAATAATTTTCCTAATTCACAGACACTTAAACTAACACAACCACATTTCAACATTGTTCCAGGAGAGACTGTAACGTTATGCCTTAATAATACACACCCATCTCAAATCCCTACTAACAACATGCTTCAGGGGCAGAGCTGCGTTTGTAGCTTGGACAGTCTCCTGGAGTAGATCCGCTTCCTCATCTGCTGTGATAAATGACTGTCTTTCATCTCTTCATCACTGTGCCCTGGACTCTTAGCACTTGCCACTCCATTAGCAGCAGCCCAGGATCTGCACTTTGGTTCTGCTCTGGGAAACGTCACACTCAGCTGCCGTGCATTCACTTGGCCATCTGTCAACACCTGCTCTGAAAGCAGCAGTGATGGCTGCACATCCAGAGCACAACAGGGATCACTGGCAACCAGATCACTGCTGATGCTCTTGGGTTGCTATTTAAATAGACCCTTTGTCCACTGACACTGGGCCTGTTTCAAGACCTGATAGGAGGGCTGTAAGGCAAGCTCTCGCTCATCAGGAAATGGAGGGCGAAAACAACACCTGATGAATCACACAGGAGGTGAAATACAGTAAACGACAGACATGGCTGGAAAAACAATAACTGAAACCAGCAGCAGTCCGTATCAAAATATTGTGGTGCTCTACACACTTTAGTCATCAAATACTTAACACATGGCATTATCCAACCAATAACTATAAACATACTAGTTTCTGTGACGCCAACAGCTCTCACTATGCTAGTCTAAGTGCTACTTTATTCAGCTATAATGAAGACAAGTAAGAAGTGACACTATTCAAAACACTTCCAAATAACACAGAAATATCGCTTGTTCTCTTCAGTTTAATACTCTTCTAGTGTGTCTAGCAGTGAAATCAGGATTTTATCACTGACAGAATTCATTCATTCAGCAAACGACAAATATAAATGCACAAACAATTTATCTTCAACATTATCTTGCTTTACATAGTAGATATTTTGGATAAATGTGAGCTAATTTGCAACATGCCAACATTAAGGCAAACGGTGCCATCTATAGGCGAAGCACCAGCAGATGTGTTTGAGATGACTTCTTCACTATAGCTATTTTTACTGGTATGTAAATGTATTATCTTTGAGGAGACAACCTGTAAAGTTGGTCTGACCTGTTCTGGGTGGTACTGGTACTCTAGATAATGTTCTCTGTGTGTCTTTGTATCCTGCATGATGCCAACAAGACATTTCCTTGCATAGCTTTTTCCAGCACTTTCTCTCTGACTTTCTTTCCCATGGAGTCTCAAGGTTGACAGATTATTCACCAAACATCCTACGGTCTAGTTACTCTGGAGACATTTACATCCCACCCACTTGAAACCAGTGAGCAGAGCGCAGGTAAAACACAAAAATCTTTGATGTAAAACAATGTAAACTCCTATAACTTTCACAGAAAATAATGTATTCATGTAGGATCCCATCACTCCTAATAAGAAGCAGGAAATATATGTTCATAGGTCCTTATTTAGTCGTTTACATAAATGGCTGTGTGAACATGTGTAATCGTATGACTCACCCCTGACAACCAGGTGGGCGGAGGCAGTAACATTGTCAACAGGGGTCTGCGCAGTGCAGGTGTAGCATCCAGCATGTTTCAGCTGGGTGTTTTTAATCAGCAGCTCGCCGTTTGAGCTTCCATTCTGTACAAAGCAGACAACAGCTAATTAAAGAGTGAGCCAGACATCATACGTACATCATGAGGCTGTGTCATTTCTTCACTTAGCCAGAAACTCATGGAAAAGGAGATAGTTATTGCTCCAATTACTAAAGTAATCCTGTCAGGCCACAGGGTCTGAGGTATCAACCTATAGGCATCCAGTTAGGTGAACTAATCTCAAGCTAGTCAGCACTCTCATTGGCTGGAAGAAAATTACTCGTCAATAAGTCATAAATTAATGTTCATATGTGGTGACTTTAATATAGATTTGTTAAATCCTAACAAGCACACAAGAACTGAGGAGTTTATTAACACATTATATAGATGTAGTTTACACCCAAAAATTACAAAACCAAGTAGATTAACAACCCAGCATGCAACATTAATAGATAATATATTTACTAATGATATTGATAGCAAAATGTCTAGTGGATTACTTATAAATGATATTAGTGATCATTTACCTGTATTTTTGGTTTATGACTGCCAGTATAGAAAAGAAAGGCCAAAAACAAATCTTTTTTATAGGAGGGTGATGAACGAACATGCTGTAAGGAGGCTAAAAGAGGACTTTATGGGGCAAAACTGGGAAGCAGTTTACAAAGAGGAAGACTTAGACAAAGCATATGAGCAATTTTTAAAT